CCTAAAAATCTTTCTCCTTTACAGCTGCCTTTCCTGAGAAGGAATGCTTGGGTGTGAAAGGCATTGCTGCACTTCTCAGTGTGTAACAAAAATAAGAATCTCATTCAAGATCCAACTTCTTGAGAAGAGAATTGAATGGTAGCAATAGGCATATGCTTGAAACTTACTGAATATAGTTTCCAAAATGTCCAAGCAATAGAAGTGTATCGCTACATATGTGCAACTAAATGCAACAGCATATTGCCTCCTCAGTGACAAGCTGGACTGCTGCACATACTCTGTACTTCTGTGACTGAGGTATGGAGGTGTTCAAGTGAAAATGAAGACTTGATGTCAGAAGTAATCAGCCATAGCCTACTTGTGTTGTTGAAGAACTTAAATTTGTCCTGAAAATGAAGCACTTTTTTTCTCTCAGGAACATCTTTATTGCAGTGATCTTCCAATTGAGCAGAAGATAGCATACCTTCACTCTCCTGTTTTGATCTGATCACTACTGTTCCTCGGTTTACAGAATGAAAAGGTGTGATGTGAGGCTCTTAAATCTGCTTTGCTGTGTGTCCTGACAGTTCATGGAAGTGCAAAGCACAGGAAAGCAGAATCTGGCAAACAGCTGGCATGTTCTGTTACATTTATGGGTTTTTGTAAGATTGTCTGCCAGAAATGACCATTTCAGAAAAAGATGCTCAGAGAGAAGTCTTTGAACACACTTTTTGCAGAAACAAAAAGGTTGTTGATACTTGTCTTTTACAGAATGTAGAATATGTTGCAATACGAGCTGGAACCCTTGGTGCATCTTGAGACATCTCATGAAAGAAACAAAGCAATTTCATTTGAGGACTACTTGAAACTCAAGATCAAAAGCTGAAGAAGAAAAATTGCCCTAAGCATATTTTGCTTTGGAGAAATTTTGTTACCTTTGTGTTGTTGGTAACTCTTAGAATAATGTTGATCCTACAGGTTCTGCTTTGCAATGACAAACTTTAGTATGAATAGAGCATTTCAACCAAAAAGCAAACTTGTTTCCATCAACAGTTGTTTTTTGTTTGTCATGGTTTCACACCAATGACCAGCTGAACTTCTCTCCCGGCTGCTGTTATACAGCAGTTTGTCATTTCTTGCGTCCCTCTTACCCAGTGGCACAACAGCATTGCTCAAGGCTCAGCTCTGGCAGGAATGCTTTAGAGCCTGGCTCAGTGAGCTCTGCAAGTTCAGCCTCTGATTGCCTGCGGGTGAGTGTAGGTATGGGAGAGGAAGAGGTGAGAAGCAGGCAGTTAGGATGATTTTGTTTTCACATTATTTGTGGCAGAATTTGACATTTGTCTCAACATATGCCCAAGTGTCAATGGAATGCGTTTGGTTGTGTTGCACCAAGGCCTGTAGGAAAGAGTGAGAAATAAAATGCCTGTTAAGATATGTGAAGCTTACTGACTTCAAAATGGTAAAATAAAAGCTATTTTGCTATTACAGATATGCTTGGTGCATGCACAAGGAGCAGCAGCCTGTAGTTCAGATCTCATATAGTTAGTAATCTTTCTTTGTGTGCTGACATTAAAAACCATTGCAAGATAAGCTGAGAGCTTTAAAATACTGGCTTTAAAAAAAAAAAAAAAAAAAAAAAAAAAAAACAAACCACAACTTGCAGCTGGAAAATGGAATGCTTGGAGCTAATTATTGTAGGTTTTGGGAGTCCGTTGGCTTCCAATTCCTGTTTTTGGGTTAAATGATTGCTTTTCCAATAGCAAAAAGTAATTGGTTCCATGTTTGGACCATGGATAGATTCCAAAAACAATTTTTAGTTTGTTCTAAATCTTGTCATTAATTTTATGGGGGGTTTGGCTTTTTGTTTCTTTAGGAAACAGATAATACTGAAGAGTAAGACAAAGTTTAGATTTTTAGTCCCCTATTGGTCTCTTCATTTTTTAATCTGAATGTAGTCTGATGTCTAAACCAATTCTGATAAACTAGCATAAAACATTGACATTTGGGGGTAGTTTGTGCTATATGGGTAATATTGATTTATGGTAGACAGCCTTCCACTTTTGGGAACCTTCTGCATTGGGTGTTTTTGGAAAACAGATACTTGTTTTATTATACTAGGGGACTGCAAATACTTCGGAGACCACAAAGAGCAGTGCTTTCTGTTGAAGTAGAAAGACAGACAGTGCTTTAAAGTCAGGAAATAGAATGATGAGAAATTAAACAGTCTTTTCATACTGATACAACCCTTACACTTACTTGTGAAGTTACATATTTCATTTGATTGATGAGTTCCATTACTGGGAAACTGTTGGTTTGGAGGCAGCACTGAAGATCTTGCAGGTAAAAAAAAAAGTAGGAATCAGAGCTTTGAGGTTGAGCAGTTTCTCTTAGCTCAGTAAACCCAGGTAATTCTAGGCAGCTACACTTGTCAGAAGGTTTGTCCCACTGCTATAGCTACTCAGGACTTGTTTTTCTCAACTGTTTTACCCTAGCTCAGGGTAAGGAAAGTAGCTTGTAAGAAGTGACTTTACTTTCAGTTGGCTCTGGAATGTTTCTGTAACACAGACATCAAATAATCAAATGAAAATCTATCTGTAAGAAGTTAAGATTCTTTTCTTTGTGCTATATTGTTCAATTTTCTTATAGTTTGTACATCACCAATCATTTTTCTTCTGGGACGGACGGAGTAGCAGAGGGCGAAGGAAATAAGGGATGGGGAAAGAACAGACTGCAGAGTGTAAACTTGGATTGTTCCAATAGTAACAATTTTCATGTGCTTTGTTTTATAGCAAGGGTGGATCTTAAAGAAACCAAATTGTGCCCTTTTTGGATACAGTTTTATCACACTGCTTTATGGGTTCACATGCCTGCACAGCACTTCATTTCGGCCCGTTGGCTCTTTATGTTAGTATCGGAAATACCTATTGCTTGTGTTATTGCAATATAGGTCTACAGAAATTTATTTGACAAGTGGGAAAATGTCTACCCATTGTAATCAGGTAACTTTATTTCCAGATCTTCAGTTCATTAGCCAACTTGGCTAAAGCCTGTAAAATGTACCAATTCCATTCACTTTGAAGTTTTAGTAGCATCTCTGTTGTTGTTGGCTGAGTTTCCCCTGTTAGTATTGTGTTCCCTTGAGAGAGCGTGTAGCTTGCGAGAGAGCTTATTGGTATGCTGACAGTAATACCCCAGGCTTTGTACTGTGCTGTGTTGTGCTATAATATTTTTATGTTTATTTCCAGTTGACATCTAAATCAGTAACTTATTGGAGTCACTTTTAAGTGCCTGGTTTTCTGTTAGACCTCAGAAATAATGGATCCTGTATGTTGCACATGGAAAAAATATTTTCTCAATGCCGAGATGAGTTTGAATATTAAAATTACTTCAGTTGTCCTGAGGAGATGGTCCTTACCACTTCTTTCTCCATAAGTTTTACTTGCTTTTAAAAAAGAAATCTCTTGTGGACTGGCAGAGAGTGGAATGACAATAATACTTCTGTCTTATGAGATAGGTTTGTGTAAAACAAGCTTGCATTGCGTAAGATTACAAAGAAGGAAATTCATTCATCCCTTGCAGGAAGACTAAAACCCATGTACCATCTGCTTAGACTGCAGTCTCTTTGTCTTTGTGAATTTTACATTGAGAAACTTTAATTTCACTACTGGCTACCAATTCAGTGTCACCTTTGGTAGTTTGCTCAAAAAAAAAAAAAGGGGGGGGGAAGAGTGCTGTATAGCTGCTATATAGCTCTGGGTTGTTATGTAGTTGTAGATAGGGCATGAAATGTTAAGCTGCCAGTAAAAGTACAGCTAAAGTGCTGCATTAATGTTATGAAAAGTTTGTGCCTGTTTACCTTTGAGTTATTTTTAAGCTGTTCTGTCAGCCCTGTGGCTTCTGTTGCTAATCCCAGCAGGGAGTATTCATATGTTAAAAACAGTCTTAAGTCGCAGTGTCAGAGCAATCTCACAATAAAATGGGATCCTTTCTTGCCAATTTGATATGAGAAAAAGCTTTTAGGGGCTTTGGTAAAGGTTTGGGAGCCAATGCAGTGATATGGATCACTGTTTTCTTACTAGGTCTTCCCTCTTTGCATTTGATGGGCAAATTCACAGGAATTATATTACTGTTACTTGTGAAAATCGACAAGGCATCTTTTTCTTCCACTTAGAATGTTTTCTTGGTTGATTTGTAGATAATTGTTGTCAATACAGAATATTTTATCCTGCAGGTACTGGACAGAGGGTAAAAGCACAATCTGCTGCAGATATGAGTGTCTGTGTTTCATCATGCTGTTTATCATATTTGAGTCTTTATATTTAGATGCAAATGGCACAAGGAAAGAAGTGGACCATACTTGGTAGAGTTCAACAAATTAGGATTTCACGCAAGGCATTGCTTGTTTCTGGAGCAGTAGTGAAAGCCAATAAAAAAAGTTGTGTGTCCTGAAGGAAAATTAGGCAGCACTTATTTGTTTTTACACTTAACTGTTGTTTTGTATTTCCTGTTCCATGAATTTGTTACCTGGGTGCCTGGCCTTCCATTTCAGTGGAAACAAAATGAGGCTAACAAAATCAGTGCTAAAATAAAAACTGAAGCTAGAAACCTGCAGTAGAAGTTGCATTAATCAGAGATGAGTATAAATGCTGATGAATTCTGCTTAAAAATAAGTAATTCCTTAATGTATGTGTATCCACAGTGTATAAAGAATTCAGTACATTCTGAATCAGTTTATTGGAGAGTTTTGTAATTTTTATGAGAATTTTACCTGCTTTATGAGGCAAGAAAATGTTTTCTGCAGTAGGAAGAAAAGTTGCTTTTCTTCTGTAATACTTAACAGCAGCTGTCAAACATTAATTTTGCTTTTTGTTTGAGCTTTGCTTCAGGAGATAGAAGCCTGTTTTGTATAAATTGCAGATTTCTTTACTTAGCAACGGATTTTAGAAGTGCTTCTTGTGGTAAGAGATGGGACATTTAATTACTTCTTAATTGATAATTATTTTAAACTCTTATTTGTCTAGGTTTTTAGCCCGTTTCTTGATGAAGATGGCAGCTAACAATGCAGTGCTGAACAGACTGGAGCAGAAGGGTGCAGAGGCTGATCAAGTTATTGAATATCTCAAACAGCAAATTGCCCTGCTCAAGGAGAAAGCTAGTAAGGAATTCTGTCTTACAATAAGCTTGTTAATCAGATGGTTAAAATGAAATGCTCATAGGAAAAAATTACAGAACATGAACAACTTCATTAATGCTGTCAGCCCTTTAAGATCTCAGAGATAAAGCTTATAATCATAGCACCTCTTCTCACTGCCTTGTGGTTTGTGAGTTTTTTGAAGCTGCTTATTCTGAAGTACAAAAGCATGGATGAAAGAGTAATGACATAAAGAGATTATGGTAATTTGATAGGACACTTTTCATTTTTTGAGGGTGAGAGGCATTTGGGAATGATGTGAGACTCATACACTGGCATGCTTCTATTGCTGCTTTTCACCAGTATGGGATTCTCTTGAGTGTGTCATAGTGCCAAATTTGATAGTTCATACAAATCAGCATTAGTGAGTGAAGATGTTCCATATTACAAACATGTTCAAACTTCTTTTAGTAGATTTCTTGCAATTTCCTCTTAGGAATCAATTTAGGGGACTGAAAATGTAGTATGTTGAAAGGCAACTCAAGTATATAAGTGTTGTGGATTTTTTTTTTTTTTTTAAACCAATGAAAAAGCAGATTCCTAAATACAGCTAGTAATATATTCTTTTAAGGTTTTTTGGCACATCAAGTTTCTTTTTTTTTTTTTTTTTTTTTTTTTTTTTAACAAAACCTCTGTTTGTCAAGTGGTAAGTGCTAATTATTCAAACGTATTGTTTTTAACATTGTGTGAACTTCTAGTCTTGCAGGCATCTCTCCGAGAAGAGAAAAAGCTCCGTGTGGAAAATGCAAAACTGAAGAAAGAAATTGAAGGGCTGAAACAGGAGCTGATTCAGGCTGAAATTCGAAATGGAGGTGGGGACCGAAGTCCTGTCTTTGGGGAACAAAGTTCTAGTTAACTCTTAGATGTGTAGTTAGTTCCTGAAGGGGATAAACTCTTCAGGGTGCGTTGTGATAGGATGAGGGGAAATGGTTTCCTATTAAAAGGGAAGATTTTTTTTTGGATGTAAGAAAAGCATTTCTTATGTTAAGGGTGGTGAAATGCTGGAGCAGGTTGTCCAGAGAGATAATGGTGGGTGCCCTGCTCTTGGAGACAGCCCAGGTCAGGCTGGAGAGGCTCTGAGCAACCTGATGGAGCTGTAGGTGTCACTGTTCATTGCAGGGGAGTTGGCCAAATGGGCTTGATAGGTTCCTTTCAATTCAGATGATTCCATGTCTTGTGCTGTCTTTTTCTTTTGGTATGCGTGTCTATGGCATCTCTTACAGACTCTGAATTTTCCAAGGTTCAGTGTCTATTGCAAGGTACCTACTTGCACAGCTTTAGTAAGCTGCAAGCATAATAGGTGCATGTGCCAAATCTGTATCAGATGTGGAACTGCCTCCTTGCATGGTCTTTTCTAACATCACCTTTTATGAGTCCCAATCTTGAATGATGTCAGTAAGTGCTTATAATACTTTGAAAACTGATGAATGCTTAACTCATCTTTATAGTCTCATATTTGATCTAGCCTGTCTGAAATCCCTATAGAAAATTATGTAGTTGTTCAACAAACAGGTGGACAGTGACTTACTAGAAATCTGTGGCAATATAAAATTAGGAACTGTTTTGAATTTTTATCTAATGCTCTGGTAAAACCAGCCTTTCATAGCACTGCTTTTCTTTCTTTGCATTCTTCTGTTCAACTCAATTCAGCTCACACCATAATTCTGTATTAAAAAAGGAAGAAGTGAAAATGAAGCATTACATATGTTACATATTTTATTCAAAATTATTGTGAAATAGAGCCTCTCTATAGAACCTTAAACAAGTATTGGTACTTTTACCCAAACTGTCAGTGGGTAAGGTGGGCCAGTGTGGATAGATGCTAGCATTCAGCCAGATTCTTTTTCTGCAAAACAACGCATTGAGTTTTCAAAAAGTCTTGAGTTTTATAAATTCATGGTAGTCTTTTTCTCCTTTTGAAAATAAAGCCTTCACGTGTACTAAACCAAATTATTAGTTCATATTTCTGTGATCTGTTATTCTGCATGTTACTCCATAAGTGGGTATGGTTTATTAGGCAAAATTTGTTTTACTCTGCAGAGTAAAGTCCTGACATGCATAGTTCTTGTTTTTCAAGATGGGGTTACACTAAAGTAAAAAATAAGGAAATATTTTGCTTCACATACATCTTTTCTTTTTTTTTTTTTAAGTCTAGTTTTCCTAAAAGCTAGTAGGAATAAATTCAGTCTATTTTGAATTAAATTTGTATGTTCTAGCTGTGCAAGTCTGAAGCATTTCAACAAAAAGAAAAAAAACAAGTAGACGAATATAGAATGTTTAAAAAAAATTCCCGTAATACTTTTAATCTATCAGATTTTTGAGATACTGTCTTTCCACAAGAAGTAATTGGATGGCAAGTAGCTGTGCAACAAAATCTCAAATTCGGATATTTTTTAAAAAATAATTGGTGCAAATCGTTTGTGTTGAAGAGGGCACAATTCTTCAGAAAAGTTATGAAATATTTAAGAAGTGTGTATGCAGGATGCAGAACTACAGTGACACAGCATCTTTGTCAGTCAGTCATTAATATGAGTACACAGTGCAATCGTATTTTAAATGAGATCTTTGAAGAGTGTGAGGTAGAAGAAATGGGCTTCTAATGTTTTATCTGATGAGATAAATAGGAAGGTGGGTAGCATTTTTCCCAATCTAAAAAAATATGTAATCAGAGGCTTCATTCTTGTCATCAGAATCGCGTGTACAGTGAGTTCTGTTGTTGGATTTGTAATGCACTTGACTGCTCAGTAGTTTTGAATTTTTAGGTGCTTAAAGCAAAATTTTCACTTCTCTACTTCATTTATACTGGAAACTTCATGTTGTGTTGCTCCAAATTTTAGCACCCCTTCTAATTTATATATTCTTGATTCTTAGTAAAACAGGTTGCAGTTCCTTCTGGTACAACTGTGTCTACAGCTTCATTTTCAGAAGATGTTCCACAACCCACAGCAGTTGCATCATCTGGTTCCAAAGATCACGTTAAAGGTGAAGATGAAGAAAAGAAAAAGAGGGAAAAAGTAGAAAAAAAAGGTATTCTGCTTTTTCTTAATTGCGATAGACATGAAAATTGTTGATTTGTGCTTTTTACATCATTCTGGGCAGTGGCAAAAATAATATACAGCTCATGGTCACATGAAGTGCTAACTCTTAAAGTATCGGAAGAACTTGTAGCTAACAAAGGCTGTTAAGGTGCAAGTTCTTACTGAAGTGAGATACACCAAATTTCTTTTAATATAACTGAACTCCCTTATTTAAGAACTTACAACTATATTCACATAAACAGAGAAACAAGCCCCGCTCCCCAAAACCAAACATAATTTATCTTTAATTACATATACCTGTAGTAACACATAATTATATCTTGCTGTAAATGCTAGCACTTTTGATCATACGTAAACTGAAATAGTTTTGAAGAGGCATTACTTAATTAAAAGTAAAACAAAAAAATAATGAAGAAAAAATATTTTTTTTCCCCCAAATCTTTGAGCACATGATACAATTTCATCCTTGTACTGGATTCATGATAATGTAATTTACTTCTCTGGCCCCACTCATAGGAATGAGAGTTTAGTTCACATCAGAGAAGGGAATTTAGCTTATGGTGATAGCTAAGTTTTCTTGAATGTAAGAATAACAGACTTATTTCAACTTTTTTATGTGTTTTTTTTTATACCATACGTTTCATTGTTCTTTGTAATCATGAATGTCATTCAAACAAGACAGTCTATGTAAACTGGATATAACTTCCTTGTCACAAAAAAAATTCTAAGAAGTTGTGTGTAATGCTGCTTCACTTCTGTTTTATGGGATACAGTGTATGTATAGGTGATAACAAACACCTGTGTTGTGACTGAGTAAATGCTGTCATCAGTGAGAACTTTGCAGTTGAAACAATGTATTTGTATTTGTGAAACAAATAATGTCAATTAAGGTCATCTGGAAGGGTTGCTTTGCAACTGTAACACTGCAGTTGTAGCGACTTAGAGCCAGCCCACCCTCAGGAGCAGTTGTTAAGTGCTCGTAACCTTATTACTTGTGTTTGTCTAGCTTTGAGTTTTTTGTGAAACACCAAGGCAAAACTTAATGGTAATTACAAATTATTAAAACTACCCTTGGTCTTATCACTATGGCCTTTGCCAGAGGATACTTTACACATTTTAAGTCAGAACGACTTCATTAAGAAAACAACTCTGCCTTAGGGTGGAACTCGTAGTAACAAGCTAAATGGGAAGGTGTAAGATGATTCTTTTCTGGAAACTAGTAACAGAGGTGCTAAATTTTACTGCTTATTTGCATTTTGCACTGAATTTATGCTTGATTCTGAGGTGGTAGCTCACTTTTCCCTTGTAATTAGTAACAGACATGACTTTATGCTATTTTCTTTAATGTTTCTTGAACTAAATTTCAATAGGTGATAAGAAGGAGAAGAAACAGCAGCCAGCTGCTGGAAGTAGTGATTCAAAACCTGTAGATGTGTCTCGTCTGGATCTTCGTGTCGGCTGCATTATTAGTGCTGAAAAGCACCCAGATGCAGACACGTTGTATGTTGAAAAGGTGGATGTTGGAGAAGCGAGCCCAAGGACCGTTGTCAGTGGTTTAGTGAAATATGTTCCCCTGGATCAGGTACTAACAATATTTGTCCGTAAGCCATCCTTTCCTGAAGTATCTGTGACTGTTTATTGTTGTTTGTTAATAAGAGTGTGTTGTCATTCTGCTAAAAGATTTGTACAGTTAAAAACAAGAAGAGGTGAGACTAGTCTTTAACATAAGCAAAAAAAAAAAAAAAAAAAAAAAGTAGAATCATAGAATCACCAAGGTTGGAAAAGACCTAAAAGATCACCCAGCCCAACCGTTCCCCTATTCCCAACAGCTCCTACTAAACCATGTCCCTCAACACAACATCCAGCCTTTCCTTGAACACCCCCAGGGTCGGTGATTCCACCACCTCCCTGGGCAGTCCGTTCCAGTGCCTGACCACCCTTTCTGAAAAGTAATACTTCCTCATGTCCAGCCTGAATCTCCCCTGCTGTAGCTTGAAACCATTCCTCACAAACTAACCCTTAAACAGTTTAGATGTTCTTGCTGGTGTGCAGGCATTAAAATTGTGTGTTTGTTGTTTTGTACTTGTGTAAGTTAAAGTATCTTCATTGTAATTCTTTTTGTTAGAATGAAATTAGTCATTTCCTCCCTCTCCCCACCATCCCAAAATGCCACAGCATGTGGCATTTAAATATTCACATCCTTCTGTTTTCCTTCCCCAAGATGCAGAATCGGATGGCAGTACTGCTCTGTAACTTGAAGCCTGCGAAGATGAGAGGAGTAGTATCTCAAGCAATGGTGATGTGTGCCAGCTCCCCAGAAAAAGTGGAAATTCTGGCTCCCCCACCCGGAGCGGTAGCTGGAGACAGAATCACTTTTGAAGGTTTTCCAGGTAAGCAGTGGGTACTTGGGAAAGAAGGAAATTAAAGGAAATAGGAGGCAGTTCACCTTTGCAAAGGTGACATTACTTCTAAAGTAGAGAGAACAGTATTTTAAAGCTGGTTGGATTTTGGTTGAAACCATCAGAACGTGTCGTATTAAAACTCTTTATTAGCATGCTAGAATTGTGTAAATAAAGGACTGAAAATATTCAACCAGAAGTTTGAGAATGCAGGGAAATGCTCTTAAAAGTGACGCTGTGCTGTAGTATTAAAATTATTCAGTTTATTAAAAGTTAGTCTTAACAAGTGTTTCTGTTTTGCATGTGTTTGAGCAAACACATTTGCTTGTTGCAATTAGCAAATGTAAAGCATAGAGATATAAAGTAACTTACCCAGTGTCTCAAGTTTCTGACTCCAGGCCCTACCTCTAGAAAAAGTGTCATAACTTTGTTGCTCAAAAATATACTTTTTCTTTTACATGTGAAGGATTGAACATTTGTTTTCAACATAGAAACATATCCTCATTACTAAAACTGATGCTTGTTTAAAAATAAGTATTTTGGTTGACATAAGATGATGATGAAAGCAATATTCTATCCAACTTCTTAGGAAGTGGGAGGGAAGCTCAGTTTTCTTTGATTTAATGCTATGTCTGAAAATAGCTGAAGTATGCTTTGTTAACTAAGAGTAGCAATCTTGAAAATGAAAAATGCTGCCTGTTTAAGAAAGACATGAAACTTGCTAGTTCACATGCAGAACTGGTTAAACTGGGTTCATGTAATGCACTCTAAATTTTGAGGGGCTACAGTAGTTGCTAAATAGTAGGAACTCCCATTCAAAGCTGTAGAGTAAACCCTGCTAATGGATAAACCCTACTATGTCAGATGTCATTTAATATCACTGCTCAATTGCAATTGTTTATATTCTGATACAGATTGTAACTGCTAAAATTGCAATCATTTATGTTCTGATGTAATTTTTAAGAGTGGTTTTGAAGTGTAAACACTGAGTCATTGAAATGAAAATAGTAAGGATATCTGATTCTGGTTTGAAGTATGAAAGCTTATGAAGCAACTGGAGCAGCAGCAACGGTAACGCAGCTAAAACACAGCTGTCTATCAAGCACATTGCAATCAATGTGTTTTTTAAACCTTCTCCACCGTACAAAGTATTAATGAGAAGCTAATTTTCCTGTTGATTTTTTTGTTAAAGTGTCTTGTTCCTTTAAAGAAACTAACAATTAGTTTGAAGCTTGAGAATTTTCTTAAAATCATTTTCTGTGTTTCAGGGTAGGAAAGATGTATAAAATTATAAAATGATGCTGTGGTCTGGAGAAGTACTCTTGGCTTTGTCCTCAAGGGAACTTTAACACCATTTTGTACTCTAATACATGAATCTTCAAGATCTGTTGGGTCTTTCTTGTATTAAGAACTTTACCAAATTTATACCAAACAGGAGTGGAAAAGATCTGACTCGCATTAGCCTGAGAAAAAATATTCATTCACTTGTCTGTAAACTATGCACTCCCACACAGGAATTGCTGTGTGAAAGCAGTTACAGGAGCTTTCAAAGCTAATGAAGGAGTCTTGCTGGTACCAGTATACCAGTATAATTGATGCTTTGGCAAAATTCTTAAATGCAAAAATGCCACGGGAACCTCAAGTTATTATGTAAGTTATTTGATATTAGTTCTGATCTAAGAATCTAACATTTTGATCAATATCTAGCTCTTAGAAATAAAAAGTAAGGTGCTAAAGCTGGAATGCAGTGCATAGTCTGTATTCAGTAGGTTTCTTTATGCTATTTCTATATGGATACAGTTGTGTGATTATATTCCATAGCAGGGTGAGCAGTATTAATATTTCATAAGGCCATTTCATAGGTGAGCTGTTACAGTGTGAAGAGGTTTCTTGCTTATTATGGTAATTTCTTCTGTAGTATTTGAACTGCTAGACCAAATGACACATTCAGCAAGAACTGAGCTCTTTTATTTGGTTCTTTTTATTTTATAGTGTGAAGCTCATTAAGCCATTGCAAGATGAAATTTAAGTTTTAGAAACCATTCTAATGAATATTTTTGGAAGGGAAGAAAATGCAATGAGAAAAAAGCTTAGAAAAATGCACATCTTAAAACTCGAGTAGTATTGACAATTGGTGCCTATACTGATCTAATGTGAGCTCATTACACATTCCAAGAGTTGATATGAAATTACAAATAAACTTATTAACATTCAAAATGTTTTTTATAGCAAAGGTCAGATTTTGTTCTTAATGGAAAAAAAACTTTCTATACTTGACAAAGGAAGGAAATGCCCAGTGGGTTGTTTAATATTAAACTTAATGATTGTTAGACCACAGTGAATGCATACAAACTAAGTCCTTTTTTGTGAACTTAAATATTGAACAGAATTTTAATTTCTGTGGAAATGCGCATTTAGCTCCAAGCACTTAAGTTATTTCTTCTGTTTTTCTCTCTAATGTTACATGCTCTGCAGTTGAGAAGTAACTGGAATACAATTAGCAAACTCTACTTAGGCAACAATAGTCTGCTCAGTACAGAAGTCAGTTTGGTGTGCTTTTCTTGCACAGTTGCAGTTTATAGAAGCTACAGAAGTTAGAGCTGTCTACAGGCTGAGGTAACTTAGTATTACAGGACTTGAGCACAGGAGTAGATTGCATCAGAAGAAAATAAGAGAAGTTGGAATTAATGTGATTTGTTTACTTGTGTTGGTCAGAAGCCACTGAAGAATACTAGAAACTAACCACATACACCTTGTACTAGGCAATGGGATTTTTCTCTTCCAGGGGACACTGATTAGTGGAAGAAAGAAGTATTTGACATTATGCTTACACAGAGAGCTTGTCATTGGCCATAGGAACTTCTGGCTCCCCTGAGATAATGTCAGAGAGGATATATTATCTAGGACTGGGTGTTTGATTCTTGTTGTTTTTTTAAAAAAATGTATTTCTCATCTATGAGGGCACCTACCAAATTCCTTTGATATAAGGTCTAAAAATACATTATTTCCTAAAATTAAGGTATAGATAAAGCTGTGTCTTATTAAGCAATATATTGTTCTACATGCTCTTATGGTCTGCATCTGCTTAATTCTTAGAAATCCTTTTGCTTTTAGGTAAATTTTATAAATCAACAGCCAGCAACAGTTTGATTTCTTTAGACAGGAGTTAAGGTCTGCTACTTACAGTACTTTTTCTTCTGAAAGACCATCATTTTGAGAGATGATCTGGAGACAGATTCTAAGCGGTCCCTAATTAAAATTAAAGCTTTTGTTTTGAGACTCACAGGTAATATTTCTTTCCCTTAAAAAATTTGTACAGAGATTCTATGTGAGCTCTCACTAATGTGTGCTCACATAGAGCTCCTTGCTGTTTCTTATGTGTTGTGTGCTATCAGGTTATTCTTTGTTTTGAAACAGGAGATCCTGAGAAGGAACTTAATCCCAAGAAGAAGATTTGGGAGCAAATCCAACCTGATCTCCATACCAATGACCAGTGTGTGGCTACATACAAAGGAGTTCCATTTGAAGTGAAAGGAAAAGGAGTCTGCAGGGCAGAGACCATGGCAAACAGCGGAATTAAATAAATGGTTGTTAGCTGCTTATTCAGATGTTGAAATGGAAAGTAATGCGAGCACAATAAAAAACATGAATATATAACCCTCTGAAATGCATGTCTAATACCTTTTTTTTTTTTTTTTTTTTTGTTCGATTCCTTTCCCAGAGATGCATAATGTTATACTTGAGACACTAACAATTCACTCATCTCCATATTGACTTTCTTTGAGGTTGTGTTCTGTGCAGTCATTAACCACTCAGTGGTTAATTACCAAGGCTCATTCATGGAAGGACTAAAGGCTGATGATCGTGTTTTCTAGATAACTGAAAAGTTAAGAGGATCCATGAAGCAAGAGCATCTCAATAAGGAAAACTTTCTGCCCTATTCCTTGTGTGCTACACTCAGTGCTAACAGTTGGTCGGAAGCCTGCAGCTGTTTTCATTCTTATCTTTCAACAGTTTCAGTCCTCTTAAGCATTTTTCAGATATATTGTGAACTTCTGCAACTTTGTTTTTGGCCGTGTTTTCTGAGTAGTCTGCAGACAGTTGGAACAGGAATATTAAACTATGGTCCCTTATACCCCAGAATATGTAAAATGACGTATCAAATATGTTGCTTTGCTAAAATAGTTTTGAAGTTTTATCTTTTAACCTCGATAGTTCCTTTCTAGTGAGGGAGATTACTGATTAAGAATGAGTAGCTAATAGATTGTTGAGAAAATGTAGTCAAATGTGAAAAAGCTGGTTTTCAATGTTCAAAACACACATCTTTTTCCATTTTAATATACATTTTGAATAATATTTCGTACAAAATATGCTTGATCTTTTTTAACAAATTCCTTCTTCTAGGTTTTATTTGAATTATTCATAATAATGTATTTAAAACAGGCACAACTACTATGATGATATCATTAAGTTGCTTCTTTTTAACTTTTGCCTTTCAATAATCTGAAAATAACCGTTGCAGATCAATTCACAATAAAACTTGAAAAGGAACTATTTAGAAATGCTTCACATGTTTCAGCATGTACTACTTAATTAACTGTCTACTGTCTAACTACTCACATAAGCACTTCTCTAACCACTGGTGTAAGGAACTTAGCTTACCTGGATTTCATAGGCTTTGAACTTATATAGTAACTGGGAGATAAAAAATCAAAGTGGTAATGACATAAGACTAAAAGGAACCAAAGACAAAAGAAAAAATTAAGTTATCTTTATCAGATGAGTTCTGTATGTGCCTATAGGGTTAACTGTGCTAATTTTTCATGTATCTGGGAATAAGCAGCAGAAATAAATTATTCTGCGCATTATTCTAAGCGTACTAAATAGCATTAAGCACATGGGGAGCTATTTTAACTGGCCTGTAAACTGTGTCTCCAGTAATATCTTATTAAACAAAATTCTTCAAGTTCAAGAATTTCAGTTTTAACCTTTGAATCAAAGTAAAAAAAAATGTGTGTGTGTGT